AGAAGAGAGAACACAGTGGGGGCTGGATGGGCTGGGGTAACAGAAGTAGGTTGGCTACGGTTTAGCCAGTAAGTTCTTGGGTAACTGACAAGTTCCTGAGAACCTGGTGTGCTCAACAATTGGGAAAGTGATGAAGTTACTACTTTGATCCTCTTTGATTTCCTTTAAGAGATTCAAGGAAATAACAAAATTCCTTCTTGAACTGGGCTTCTTTAACAGTGCATTAACTCTGAGATTGGACCACGTGAGACATAGCTTTAATCAGTTTATAAGTCCAAAAGAGCACGACCATAATGTTCCAATACTGACAAAATGATCTTAGGCCAATCATTTGAGTCCCTAAGCCCCAGTTTTCTCACTTGTGAAACCAAAAGAATAGATAGGATTAGCATTTCTAGATTATTTTCTATAGAAATTTAATACAAAACATCTGGAAAAAGTTCTAAATCAAATATGTTTTGAAAATAATGGTTAAATACACCTAGACTAACTTGTTACCACCAAGGCTTCTTAGCGTCTTTGAAATTTAGCCAGCGTCACTTAGGAATTCTCATTTGTGTTCTTTAAAGGCATTTGAGTGTGAAATCCTTTTTCTATAACATCTCTCTTCTCGGGGTTGTCAGATTATACTTTGGGTACGTGCTGAGCTAGATGTTCTTTAAGAATTTTCCCCCAATTCCAAAATATTGATTTCATAAAAAAATCGAGTCTATCCATGTTAGATATTGTCTAATTGATTGGTTAATACATTTCTTATAGAGTCCGAAAAGTCAGACATTAGAGTTATCTAAGCTTCATGAAGAAGATGGCAGAAAAGAAGGCTGGAGGGAAAGGTGGGCAGGCAGTGGAGGCAGGAGACACAGGGGACACTGTCAAGAGGAAAGCCTATCATTCTTCCAGGGACCTCAATTCATTTGCTTATGGAGTGGCCACAGTGTGAGTGTGTGTGTGTAAACTTAGCTGTGAACACAGAGGATCTGTTGTCTCCCTGGGATGATGTTGGACAAATAAATTATATATATATATATTAAGGGCTAAGAAGTTCTGCTACCAAAACCATCTGTGAAATAACACAAAATGAGCAATTAACAAGACATCATTTAACAGGCTGCAGAAACAGCACAGAGGGTTAAAATTTCTCTCTCAAAATAAGGGGCCTCAAAATAAAAAATAAAACGGGCTGGGGAATGTGGCTCAGTGGTTAAGCACCCCTAGGTTCAATCCCTGGTACCATTTGAAAAGCGGGGGGTGCTTTTCTCTGGAGGCAGCTATGGGTACTTTCTTCATGCTTTGAAAATTCACTCTTCAGGGCTATGGAGATCCAAGAAGATTAGTAATTTCTGGAGGCCAAAAACAAATCTTCCCTAGAGGCTGATAACCCATATTAACTGATTAATGACATTTATTTCCTGCAAGCCACCGAAGCTTCTTATTAGCAGGTCTGAACAACTGGTTATACAGGAAGACAAAACCAAATGTGTGTGTTGATTTATGTACTTTTCCCTGGAGTTTCCTTCCCTCTTTAGGGGTTAGTTAGTGACCCAATCCACATGAAAAGATATGCTGGATCCAAGGTGGCTGCATGAAGTAGTTTTCACCTCCTAAAATACTTCTTATCAAAAGTAATTTCTTAAAAAGCATGTACTATATAGGCTTTTCTGTCCTAAAATCTGGCCAGATAATCAGACACAATTATGCTCTTCATTTGCTCTGTGGAAAAATCTCTTTTTCTAGCATGCTAAGGCCCTTGCTGGGCCTAACAGCACATCAGATACTGTCTCACCCTTGTGTGCCCCTTGCAAACATGCACTTGAAAGAGGGTAGCAATTCTGGAACATTAAAAACAGCAACTGGAAAGCAAAGCCCCCTGGCCAAGACTCACCCAACCAGATTGCAGAGCTATTTTTATCCCTTGAGCTAAGCGTATTGATGGAATGCAGAATTACTTTTGTGATTAAATGTGGCCAAAAACCTAGCAAGTGTTAATCTCTGGAAATCTGTTACAAATTGGATGGCAAGTGCCAGCAAACTGCTATTTTTTTTGTAAGTCCAAAAATAATTCTTGATGCTCTTGTAAGTAATGCAGAAATAAAAGAAAATTTTATTTAATTGGTTGGGGTGGTTTGGGTTTAAGCAGTCAATTCCTAAATATAATAGAGGGTGTGGGTCCCTGGAACCTCCAGTGGAGCATGGTCAGATGCCAAGAGGATGGGCAGAGGCCCTGGCAAGTCTTTGTATTTACATATCTTAGTCAGTCTGGCCTGCAGAGGATGGCTCTAAAATCAGAAATGCTCCAACTCTGCTTTTTTGGGGGAATTTATGTGATTGGAACTGGGAGCAGGGTCATATGTGGGCAAAAATAGAATGGAGGATTCACTGGCTGGGGACCAGTTTCAAATAGTGATGAATATATTGTCCATATAAAGTCAACATTTGCCCTATTTCCTCTGGCTCTGTCCCTTTGGGAGCCAGTTCTTTTTTGTTTTGTCACAGAAAAGAGTGGAATTTCCGATTAGGACCATGTGGAGCAGTCTGGTGCCAAACCATCTGAGGCATAGTCATCTCTGGTCCCAGCTGGGACAGCAAAACCCTGAATCACCCAAACCTAAGCCCCTCATAAAGACCTTCTGAACACCCCTCCAGGGTTGCTCTCCAGTTTATTCTCCACTCCCTGGGCCTTTCAAGAAGCCCGGCCACAACAGGCTGTTTCCTTTTTGCTTTTCTTTCCCAGCCTCTTTCATTTCCAATGATGATCTTCTTCTTCCCTCCTTTGAGCTCACCCAGCGAGCCTGCTCCACACACATTACAGGGTCTCTGTTCCATTCCCCATGGGACCCCCAGTTCTGGGCCTGTACCACTGAAATATCCACAGATCCCAAACCCGGAATGAACCACACGAGACACTGGCTGCAAAAAGCAGGAGGCGTTTATTCTCACACAGGCGCCTGCGGGTGCACAGCAAAACCTCAGCCAGAGCTTCGATGAGCTGGCACACCGGGCTTTGGGGTATAGATCTTTTATAGGGAACAGGTGGGTTAGGTCTTAGCTTAGCACAGCAACAGCCTTCCTATTGGTCCCTCTGAATTCAGCAGTTGAGTCACCTAGGGGGGTAAACTTGTTTTTCAACTTTTTGTTCTCAGAAAAACCATAAAATTGCATTCTGTCCTTTCAGTTCCTGTTTTTAAACCTAGTTCTCAAGTTTAACCAGTAGGACTGTCTAAAAGGAACATCTTGTGATAGGGGGCCCGTTAGGGTTATCTACATGGAACATCTTGTGGTAACATTGTGCAACACCTGAGGTGCTACATGCTGCTGGAGGGGTTTTGACATGGGGGTTGGGTGAGGATGTGTCTTACAGCTTTGAGGCCTAGGGGTTTGGTCATCTAATGCTGGGCCTGGGTCTTGAGGTCCTACATTCCCCCCTTTTTCTTTATCCGGGATATAATCTTATATCCATTGATCTACCTGCTCAGAGTCCGGTATTTGCTCAGCTGATGGTTCAGGGTGCTGTGGGAGTACTTGATATTGCTGCGCGAGTACCATAGTTTGAATTACAGACAATCTTTCTTTTATAAATTGCATTAATTTGTTAAATATGCAGGGCCCAAATGTTAAGATCAGCAGCAATACAATTAAGGGACCGGCTACAGTAGATAATATAGTAGTTAACCAAGGGGAGTTATTAAACCAGCTTTCAAACCAACTTTGGGAGCTTTGCAGAGACCTTTCCCTTGCATCTAGTCTTTCTCTAAGCTTTGTCATAGACTCCCTTACTACCCCTGTGTGATCGGTGTAAAAGCAACAGTTTTCTTTTAAGGCTGTACAAAGTCCTCCCTCCTTCAAGAATAATAGGTCCAGACCTCGTCTATTCTGCAAGACAACTTCTGATAAGGAGGTTAGGGATTTTTCTAAAGCAGTTACAGAGGTTTCTATTGCTCTTAGGTCTTGTTGGATTGCAGCTTCTAGAATCCCTAGCTGTCGGGGGCCCTCAACCAGAGCTGCAGCCCCAGTCCCAATTCCTGCCAATACTCCTGCTCCTAACAAGACTGCCAGGGTAAGGCTGATAGGCTCTCGGGTGTATCGAATCCTGCCCATGAAATGTCCTTCAAATTCCTCTGAGGAATAATAGAATAGTCGTGGGTAGATTCGGACTAACACACAAAAATCAGTGGAGGCATTGAGGATTGCCGTGGAAATACAGGGGGTCAGTCCAATGTTGCAGGCCCAATAAGTTCCGGGGGGACCCCACAAATAGTTATTTTGTGAGCCATTTGTCAGGAGGGTGGTGTTACAGAGAGGTTGATGTGACAGGGGTATATTTCCTACACAGATCCCTTGTCCTGAAACTTCAGTGATGGTGAGTTTATAGCCGGGCAGGGACATACATTTAGGATCAGGGTTTATGTTACTGTTCCAGTCAGACATTATTGCTATTCCTTCATAGTAGGGTGGGCCGAAGGTGAGACAGAGCCAACATTCCCGGGTGCGGTCTGGGTTGGTGGCATTGAGGGCATAAAAGGCTCCTTGAATCAAATCTAACAATCGGTTTTCGGTTTCAGGGAGTGTGGGTTCGGGGGAGTAACTAGAGGTTTGACAGTCTATGGTTACAATTTGAGACATGGGTGGCTCACTGGGAGGTACTTTGGGCGGACTTTTTGATTGTCTGGGAACTGAGGGAGCTCTTTGGTCCCCGAGAACAGGATTAGGTCCTATTGGGCTCATCAAAATTGGGGTTAGAGATAATTTGATTCTGAGAATTACACCGAGATCATCTCCTTTCATAAACCATCTAAGGCCCCATGTTCTCCCAGTGAGCCAGGGATCTAGCTGTTCTTTTCCTTTTTCTGTAAACTGTATCCGTAAGGGCAATGATTTGTCCCCTTGGTAGTAAGATGTAGGGGGGGGATAGCAATCAGAGGGGCGCGTACCATGGGGAGTGAAGTTTTTGAGTATTGTTATGAATTCCTTATCAGAAGAAGGTTTCCAGTGAGCGTCCCCTGTAGTTTCACAGCCCCAGGAGGAGCAAAAGTATGTTTTATAATTTCCACATCTACGTGCTTGGGTTCGGTTTCTCCCTTCTTTGGGACAAACGTAAAAGTCATGTTGACCCAGTCTGCATCTCGTTATGGGGGTAGAACAATAAGTACTGAGGTCATGTGAGTTGCCGGGAATATCCCAAGAGTCTGATTCAGCGGCTAGTTGACAAAAGTCTGGGGTCAAAATAGGCCACCATGTGCCAGGGATGTGGGCTGCTGTAATAGACCAAATTATTTTTCCGGTTTCGGAATACACCTGCCAAGTCAACTTCATGGGGGTATGGGGATTACTACCTAGGACGAGGGGAGTAGCGTAGAGAGCAAGAGTGATTAACAACGTGTAAGTCTTATCTTTAGCGGGTTTTGGGTGCGTTGCAGTTTCCATTCTGGATCCAGAGAGGCGTCTGTGGGCTCCTGCGGATGTGCAGCTTTCACGTGGGAAGCGTGGATCCAAGCGGTGATGCCGTCCACTTTGATTGCAGTGGGAGTGGTCAGCAGGATGGTGTAAGGTCCTTTCCACCGCGGTTCGAGGTTCTTGCTCTGGTGCCTGCGTACCCAGACGGTGTCTCCGACTTTGAAGGGATGTGGCAGCGAGGGGGTTTTGAGTTCCTCCTTGTATGCTGCGGCTAGAGGCTTCCAAACCTCGTTCTGGACCAACTGCAAGGCACGCAAATGAGTCTGCATAGATGGGGTGAGGGAGGCATAAGTTTCAGTTTCATAAAAGTTAACAGCAGGTGGTGGTGCACCGTACAAAATCTCAAATGGGGTTAGCCCCTGTGGGCCTGGGGTGTTTCGGGCCCGGTATAAAGCTAAAGGTAGGAGTTGTACCCAGTCTCTAGTGCCAGTTTCAAGCGTTAATTTAGTTAGAGTCTCCTTGATGGTTCTATTCATCCTTTCTACCTGTCCTGAACTTTGGGGTCTATAAGCACAATGTAATTTCCAATTAATCCCCAATGTATTGGCCACCATCTGACTTACCTGGGAGACAAAGGCAGGCCCGTTATCTGACCCAATGGTCCCGGGTACTCCATACCTGGGAAAGATTTCTTCCAGTAATTTCTTTGCAACCACCTTAGCAGTCTCATGCCGAGTTGGGAATGCCTCGGTCCATCCAGAGAAAGTGTCAACAAAAACCAGAAGATATTTGTAGCCATACATACCAGGTTTAATTTCAGTGAAGTCTATTTCCCAATGGGTTCCGGGCTTATGGCCTTTTACCCGGATCCCTGTTCCAATTTTGATCTTACCAGCATTTACCTGGGCACATGCTTGACAGTTTTCTGCTTCTTGGCGCAGAAGTTGATCCCTGTTTGGAAGATATAAAGTACCTTCCCCACGCTCTAAGAGCTCCTTCATCTTTTTAGCCCCAAGGTGTGTTAGTCTGTGTAGGGACTTTACTAATTGTTTTGAATTTTTGAGGGGCATGATAGTCTTTCCTTGATATTTCCAGACATTTTTCCCGGGGTCATAAGTGGCCCCCAGTTTTTGTATGGCATCTAAATCTTTATCTTCATAGACCCAGTGTTCTTCATGGTCATCATGTGGTGGGTCTGCTCGTTGGGGCAATAGAGTCACTATCAAAAGCTGTGGCCCTAGGGCTGCTTTCTTGGCCGTTTCATCTGCTAATCTGTTCCCTTTGGCCTCTGGAGTATTACCTTTTTGATGACCGGGGCAATGCATGATACTTAACTTTTTAGGCAAGAATAAAGCTTTAAGTAAGGCTAATATTTCAGCCTTATTTTTGATCTCTTTTCCTTCTGAGCTTAGTAGACCCCGGCGTCTGTAAATTTCTCCGTGTATGTGAGCAGTAGCAAAGGCATATCTACTGTCAGTGTACACGTTTAGTTTCTTCCCCTCTGCCAACTTTAACGCTTGAGTCAGCGCTATCAGTTCTGCCCGCTGAGCTGATGTTCCGCCCGGAAGTGCACTCGCCCATATTACCTCAGATTCGGTGGTGACGGCTGCTCCTGCTCGTCGTTCTCCATTGAGCAGATAACTGCTTCCATCTGTGTACCAGACCAGCTCCACATCCTTCATCGGTTGGTCGGTGAGGTCCGGCCGGGTTCCCTGTGTCTCTGCAAGAATCTGCTGACAGTTGTGAGGATCGGCTTTTCCTGGGAGCGGCAGGAGGGTCGCTGGATTCAGCGTCACCATGGGACCAAACTGAATTCGGTCGGTGTCCAATAACAAAGACTGGTAATGGGTGAGTCGGGCATTTGACATCCAGCGATCAGGCGGCTGGCGAATCACAGTTTCGATGGCATGAGGGGTTAACAGGGTTAATGGCTGTCCCAAAGTCAGTTTAGTGGCATCCTTAATCAGCAGAGCCACAGCTGCAATCATCCGGAGGCATGGTGGCCATCCTGCTGCCACTGGATCTAATTTCTTTGACAGGTAGGCTATAGGTCGCCTCCAGGGCCCTAGTTTTTGGGTTAAAACCCCTTTTGCATATCCCCGTTTTTCATCTATAAACAGATCAAAGGGCTTGGTAATGTCCGGTAAGCCCAAAGCAGGGGCTGACAGAAGAGCCAATTTGATGTTATCAAATGCCAATTGATGTTCCTTAGTCCAAGCAAAGGAGTTACCTTGCTTAGTTAGTAGATACAAGGGGGCTGCTATCTCAGCAAACCCAGGAATCCAGAGTCTACAGAAACCTGCGGTCCCCAGGAATTCCCGCAGTTGCTTGGGACTCTGGGGGGTTGGTATACTTGAGATAGTCTCTTTTCTGGCAGTTGTCAACCATCGTTGACCATCATGGAGTTCATAGCCCAGATAGGTAACTTTTGTCTGACAGATTTGGGCCTTCTTTGCTGACGCCCTATACCCTAGTAGCCCCAAAGTTTGCAATAATTTCTCCGTACCTGCCTGGCAATCTTCCTCGGAGGTCGCAGCCAGCAAGATGTCATCTACATATTGGAGCATGATTAGGGAAGGGTGCCTTACACGGAAGTCTGCCAAATCCTGATGCAAAGCCTCATCGAAGAGTGTTGGGCTGTTTTTAAATCCTTGTGGCAGTCTCGTCCAGGTCAGCTGTCCAGAGATTCCCCCTTCTGGATCTTTCCATTCAAATGCGAAGAGAGCCTGACTTTGGGGAGACAGTCTTAGGCAGAAAAAAGCATCTTTCAGATCCAGAACAGTATACCAAGTATGAGTAGGAGGCAAAGTGCTAAGGAGATTGTAAGGATTTGGCACTGTGGGGTGGATATCGCATACCCTCTTGTTAACTTCCCTTAAGTCTTGGACTGGTCTGTAATCATTAGTCCCCGGCTTTTTAACTGGTAGTAGTGGGGTGTTCCAGGGCGATTGGCAAGGTGTTAGGATGCCTTGGTCTAGGAGGCGTTTGATATGCGGCTTGATGCCCTGATAGGCCTCTCTTGACATAGGATATTGTTTGATATTAATGGGAGTAGCAGCGGCCTTCAGATGAATGACTATTGGGGGCCGTTGTTTTGCCAATCCCATTCCTCCGGTTTCAGCCCAGGCCTCCGGGTAGGAACTAAGCCAATAGTCCATGTCTTTCATAGGTACCGAGGGCTTGTCAAAAAGTTTATATTCGTCTTCCAATTTGAAAGTCAATATATGTAATGGAGTCTGGTTTGGCCCCGTGATGGAGACGCCCCCATCTTTAAAATAAATTTGGGCTCTCAATTTAGCCAATAAGTCTCTTCCCAACAGTGGATACGGACAGTCAGGCACGTGTAGGAACGAATGAGAAACCTTACCTGTGGCAAGGTGTACTTCTCTCGTGGTGGTCCACCGGTAGGGTTTACTCCCAGTGGCACCTTGGACCCACGTCGTTTTGTGGCTCATGGGTCCTGGTGTCTGTGTCAGCACTGAGTGTTGGGCTCCGGTATCCACTAGGAAGGTCACAGGTTGCTCCCCTACTTGTAGAGTTACCCGGGGCTCAGGGGGGAGCTCCTGGCCCTGACTCCTCTAATCCTCATCTAATGTTAGCAGTCGGGGAGCCCGGTTGGTATCTCTCCTGGGGTTGGGGGGTCTCTTTGGGCAGTCTTTTACCCAGTGTCCTTTTTCCTTGCAGTAGGCACATTGATCTCGGTCTACACGGGGTCTGCTTTGCTCCCTGTCCCTGTTTACTTTGTTTCCCTGATGTCCTGCCTGAACTACGGTGGCCAATATTTTACTTAGTTCCCTGTTACGCCTTTGTTCTCTTTCCCTTTCTTTTTTGTCTGATTCCTCTCTAAGCTTAAGTTCTCGTTCTTCCTGCATCTTTCTGATCCTGTCCTCTCGTTCTTCTGGAGTTTCTCTTTTGTTATATATCTTTTCGGCTTCCTTCAGTAAGTCTGCCAGAGAAAAATCTTGCAAGTTATCTAGTCTCTGCAATTTAGACCTGATATCTGGGGCGGACTGCCAAATGAAAGCCATAGATACATTTCCTTTTTGGTCCTCGCTATCAGGATCAAAAGGAGTAAACCTCCGATATGCCTCTTTCAATCTTTCTAGAAATGCTGTCGGGGTTTCTGTTGCCCCTTGGGTAGTCTGTCTTACCTGAGCCAAATTAGTGGGTCGTCGCCCTGCTGCATGGAGACCCGCTATGAGTAACTGGCGATAGAGACGTAGGTGGTCCCTACCTGCTTCAGTCGCATGGTCCCAGTTTGGCCGGGTTAAAGGAAAAGCTTCATTAATCAAATTTGGGAGTTGGGTGGGACGCCCATCGTCCCCTGGCACATTTTTGCGAGCTTCCAAAAGAACTTTTTGTTTCTCCTCTGAAGTGAGGAGAATTTGCAGGAGCTGCTGGCAGTCATCCCATGTTGGCTGATGAGTTACTAGGATAGACTCAATCAAAGAGGTTAGAGCTGTAGGGTCTTTAGAAAAGGAAGGGTTATGGGTTTTCCAGTTATAGAGGTCAGAGGCAGAAAAAGGCCAATACTGATATTGGCCATTGGGGCCTCCCGTCTGTCGCAGGGGGAGAACTCTGGAGGTGTCTCCTGAGGCGGTGTGATCCCGGCGTCCCCGGAGCCGTCCCACCATGGGAGAAGGATCCGGGGGAGCATTGGCGACTGGGCCTTCTTGGTTCTCGTCCTCGGAGGATGCTTGATCAGGTTCAGGGGCTTGTAAGGGCTGGGGCTGATAGGGAGGAGGCTCATCAGTCAGCAAGTCAATTAGAGTTGAGTCCTCCGGCGGTAGAACCTTCTTTGGTGTTGTCCCTGTTTTAACTGAGGTCTCAGATTTGTTAAGAACAGGGTAAAGATGAGAGGTTTGGGGAGGGGGAAGTGGAATGAGGGGAGCAGAGGGTTCAAGGGGAGGACGGAGAGGGGGTTTGGGTGGAGAGAAAGGAGCAACCCAAGGGGGGGGGTTGGAGGCTAAGTCCTCCCAGGTAACAATGTAGGGTATCTGGTCAGGGTGTCCATGAGGACCATGGGTGAAGATTCGGGTTTTCACCTGGAAAATAAGATCAGTATTAAAAGTCCCTTCTGCTGGCCAGCTGGTGTTGAATGTTGGCCATTCTGAAGTACAGAGAGTTTTCCATTTTTTCTTTTTGACTGCCACGGACAGGTTGTCTGCCCGATCTTGAACGTCTTGCCAATGATCTAGAGTTAGGCTCAAAGGGGTTGTTAGTGATTGTCCCATGTTACTTTCAGAGAGGAAATAGAGAGACAGACACAATGACACAAAAACGAAACCAAACAGTGAGATCGCTGCGCGGCTTCGGTGGAAACCGAACAAATCAGATGGCCTGGGAGAAGTTTGTACTTCTTTGTCGCCTACAAAAATGGTGTAACCCTCGGAAACACCGGGGGCCCCAAAGAAATGGACCCTTCTGATCCCTGGGACGTCTCCCAGGGTGGCAGGGGAGAAGTCCGAGTTCGTCAACTCCTTCTCAAGCTGCCTCAGAATACTAAATGACAGAACTGCCTCAGAATACTCAGAATACTAAATGACTATGCCTAGGATCATATAGTCTTACAGACGCTGCGCGGAACAAAGAACAGATAACCAACAGGACAACAAGACAGTCAGTTTGAGCTGGCCAGCTTACCTCCCAGTGATGTCGGGTGTCCTCCGGATAGGGACCGGGATCGGAACCGGAACCGGGATCTTGGATCTCGGTGGAACCTCCACAATGAAATATCCACAGATCCCAAACCCGGAATGAACCACACGAGACACTGGCTGCAAAAAGCAGGAGGCGTTTATTCTCACACAGGCGCCTGCGGGTGCACAGCAAAACCTCAGCCAGAGCTTCGATGAGCTGGCACACCGAGCTTTGGGGTATAGATCTTTTATAGGGAACAGGTGGGTTAGGTCTTAGCTTAGCACAGCAACAGCCTTCCTATTGGTCCCTCTGAATTCAGCAGTTGAGTCACCTAGGGGGGTAAACTTGTTTTTCAACTTTTTGTTCTCAGAAAAACCATAAAATTGCATTCTGTCCTTTCAGTTCCTGTTTTTAAACCTAGTTCTCAAGTTTAACCAGTAGGACTGTCTAAAAGGAACATCTTGTGATAGGGGGCCCGTTAGGGTTATCTACATGGAACATCTTGTGGTAACATTGTGCAACACCTGAGGTGCTACATGCTGCTGGAGGGGTTTTGACATGGGGGTTGGGTGAGGATGTGTCTTGCAGCTTTGAGGCCTAGGGGTTTGGTCATCTAATGCTGGGCCTGGGTCTTGAGGTCCTACACCACCCTCCTGGGGTAGGGCCTGAACCCTACTGTAACTTTTCCAGCCTCATCTCTCTTAAACTTGGCCCTATCTTCTCACTTTGTCTTCCAACAGGAATCCTACTTCAATCTGGATGGAGTCTTCTGGGAGCTTAGATGAGGAAAGCCAGGAGCCAGAGTCTTCAGATGCCAGGAGAGCATGATCTATTCAGCATAGCTTGGTGGCTGACTATCTCTTGCCTCTCCTGCATTGAGCACATTTCAGGATTTTCAATTAATTGACAAGGACAAGGTCCTTCTGATAGAGTTCTAGCTATTAAATGTATAAAGGAAGAATGGTTTTAGAAAAATCCCATTTTGGAACACACAATGAAACAAAGGGTTTATTCTAGGCAATGATCAATGACCATTCGAAGCATTAGGTAAAATTCTGATGGGAAAATTTATAATGGATGGATTAAGTTGACAGCCTGATTTGATTAATTAATCTTAAAGATATTTGTGGAAAGACAGCCAGACATTCTGGGACTTCTGATATGATTTAATGGGTACTTTATAGCCCTCCCACTATGAGGTATCCTTTAAAATATCTGAGGTGAACCAAGTCTTTAGAGATAAATACTAGTTTACCTAATAATGAGGAATAAATGAATTTGTTAAATGACATCATGTGGACTCAGACAAATCTAGATTGTGAGATTCCACCACAGGATGAACAAACCAGGTTTTTCAAAAAATAGATGATTTTAAAAAAATAATTTAGTCATCATAAATATAATATAGGCTTAAGGCTACATCAATGGGTAAAAGTACTTAATAAAAACCAAGTTGTTAAACATTGGTATTATTACTATGACTATAGCTCTACATCTTAGTTCAGATGTTTATTGGTAAGATAAACTCTCTCTCTCTCTCTCTCTCTCTATATATATATATATATATATGTGTGTGTGTGTGTGTGTGTGTGTGTGTATGTAACATGCATATATAATATGTCTACATATATTATTTTCAAAACCTATGTATAGAATATTTAAAGAACCTTAGACATAAAATGTGAGGAAAATACAATTTCATAAGGGTCAGGAAGAAGCTACAACAAATAGCCCAAATCATCAAGCAAAACTGAAAGTAGAACCAGATTTTGATATCTTGTTCTTAAAACTTTATTACACTATTAAAACACCTGATCACAGATTTTCCAAAGTCAGTTCTACAGAACCATATGTAATTACTCTAAATAGTATGAGAATGTTATGTGTTTCTATAGAATCACACATATGCTGAAAAATTAACGAACATATGTTTGTACATACACATACCTTGTAACCATGTTAAATAGTAATGCTTCTAATTTTTCTCTCTCTCAGGTAAAATCTTACATAGTAAAATATTGGCTATTGGACATTCATGGGAAATAAATTCATTTGGATACATGAGGAGTTTCCAAAAAAATTAACATTTGACCTGTTTATTTGCTTATTTTAGTTTTTGCTTTTCTAGGTGGGAATCTTTCTAAAATATCCTTCACTCTTCTCCAGAAAGGGAACACCAGACAATTCCCTGATCCCTTAGGGCTATCATGAACAAGCCAATATGAGGATATGATAGGTGCCCTTGGAGTTTGAGGTATCTGAGGTGTTAACTGTTCTCCAGTCCATGAAGTGACCTCTGCCCACCGTGCTCTTGGAATACTTATTTCTACATTTTTAGTTTTCCTTTCTACTCCTGAGTTCAACTTACATCTGTACTAACTACTTGGCTGCCCTCTTCAATTGCTGCTTCCAATTATTCTTATAACCAGATAATCCAACTCACTGATATGTGGGCAAGATAAAGGGGCCAGACTGAGACCTAAGAAAGGTAAAGGGCAGGACCTCGAGTGCCTGGACTTCATGAACTTTCTTTTGCTGCTATAGGGTGTTTTTTGTTGCCTTTCAGGTTCTTAGCTATGTTTCCCATTAGCAAAACAGGCTTCCAAAAAATGATTGTTCAGAAACACAAGATAAAAATGTATCCCTGGAGTGTACTTGAGTTGGAGGTTCCCATTAACTCCATTTAGGGAAAATATGATTTAGTACCCACGGACAGGTAGCTACTGCTTCTTGAATTCACAATGAACCTCAGTACTATCATTATGCTAAGATCCCAAATTTAGATTACAAATCGACTTTTAAAAGCAAAAACAATTGAGTTGATATCTTTTTTTAGATCCTATTTAAACAAAGTCATTATATATACCAGATCCTTGAAAAATTCAAGTTTACAAACATTGTGTTGAGGGCTTCTTCATGTACAAATGCCTGGCAGTAATGTATGCATTTAATATTCCTGAATGATTTTTGTTAGAGTCTGTAAACAAGTCAAAATAACACCTGGCATTTAGCCAGGGGAATGTTAAGAGTTCGTAAACAAGTCTGGATGGTGCCTGGCAAAATGCCAGAGGGAGTGGTTTGAGAAGTAACAAAAACAAGCCATTAAGTGTGGAGATTCCTTATTGGTTGACTGATGTATCTAGTTTATGCTAATTAGATAAGCTCTGTGGAATGTATAAATACTGCTCCTGTCCTGCAATAAACGGCTCCCTCTCCTGCTGTATCAACGTACACAAGTTATTCCTCACCCCCCCCCCCCGTTATTTTGCTGCAGCCGTACTCGGCAGATTTTCTGATTGAAGAGAATTTTCTTGGCCCAATTGAAGCAGTTCTTGGATCCAGTTAGGGTAGGCCCATGAGGCTGATTTTTATGAAGTACTTGATGGAAGTGTATTATTCTAAACCTCTCACCTAAATGAATCCCATCCCCCTCACACTGCCTTCCTCATTATATGAATCAACATAGGTCGCCAGTATGATACCTACCACATGATGTCTCCAGCCCCAATCTCTTTCAATTATATCTTGAATGCCCTCAGTCATACAGACTACATAAATAGTAAGTGCTTGGAAACAACCATCAGAGCTCTTCGGATCCTCTCTATAATATCCACCAGTGATTTCCATGACATCAGAGTTTCATGTTCTTTCCAATTAAAATGGGCTTATTTTGCTCCTTGCAACTGGAAGTGGAGTGTCTGTGATTCTAGTGTGTGCATAGAGAATGGATGCTTGGCTTAAGAGCACCAGTTTGGTAATCTCTAAGCTTTTTTGAGCCCAGCAGCCCCAGTACACAGAGAATCATGAGTACATTACTACAGGAACAAAGCATTTCCATCTAAAAAGAAACATCCATTAGTACATCCTCCGCCATTCTCTCCTCTTCACAAGAAAATCACAGGAAGAAGCTGAGTTGATTTAATGAGGCTAAAATCCCTCTTAATCATGGTGAATAACCTAGCTGCTATTATTATTTGAGCCAAACAAATTTATAATTACCACTATTCAGAAGTTCTTTTTCTCTTAAGATGACAAATAACTTTATGGTTTTGAACAGGTCCTGACCTAGGAAAACAGAAATTCCCAAAGCATATCTTGTGCATCGTTGCCTTGCCTCTGGGATATTCTACATTTATTCATATTTTAATAAAATATCAGTGGGGATGAGTTATGAAAATGTGAAAACAGCAAAGGAATAGTCCCTTTATTTCAATTTCTAGAAGAAATTGTGGGCTCCCACTTACCTCTTCTACATACACCATATAAAACTTAATGAATTTACTCTTAAACTCTTGAGAAAATTAAAGTGATAGATTGATTGGATCTGTGTCACTTCTTTTAGAAGCAAAAGTTTTACCCCAGTGGAATCCATTGCCAGAATACTGACCACTCAGAATACCTGAACAGTAATGAAGGAAAAAGAAAGGAAGGAAAGCATTTAAAGCATCCAAGATAAATTAAAAATGATATAAACTATGATCCAAATAAAAGTACTTGAAAGTCAATGGAATTAGGGAAAAATAAAATGCATATGTAAGAGAGAGCCCAAATAAGAAACCAGAAGATACAAGAACAGCAACAATGAAAGCATATGACTATTTTTTCCAACAACTAAAAAGAGAAAGGCAATCATGAGCCTCCTGAACACAGGACAACAGCCAGTTAAGAGAAAGCCATGGTTCAATGATGAAGCGAAAAGTTACTGTGGCATGATGATATAAGAAAAGAAAATCTCATTGCATTGCTTTCTTTGAGGTAATGACACTGAAATTAGACAGGAAAAAAATGGAACCATTTCCTCTCAGCCCCCAGGGTGAAAAAAATTGCATACTATAAACTATAAATACATGCAACTAGTTTTTAGTTTTTCAAGAAGCAACCTATGAAGAAAATGTGAAAGACTTAATTATGATTTTAGAACAATACATCAGTGTTATCGAGGGATCACTGTTTTCTCCCTATCAAAACAAAGTAGCAGTAATCATCTTGGGCTTAGAAATTATATTTTATGAAAAATAATGCATTTTTAACATTGTAATTACCTCAGCTCAGAATAGTTTTCTTAGACTTGAGCATCAGAATTGGGGGAGACTTGCTGGCCTCCTCCCTGAGTTTCTGGCTCAGCGGGTGTGGAATGGGGCAGGTGGTTGGTGGGGGTGAGATTGAGTGACCAGGTGGTCTCATCTCACCTCACTTATTGGACAAGATGCAGATGCAGGAGAAATCATTGATTCCTTGAGAAGTTCTGTCTCTCCCATATTCCTCAACCCATCTTCCTCCTGCCTTCCCCCCTCTCCCTCTCTCTCCACGCCCACTTCCCTCTTCAGTTATACTCAGCTGATCCATATGCTAAGTGCAAAGGTTTGCACCTCCACTGTATTTTCATATTATACAGTGAGGAGTCAAGCTAACTGCCCATCACTGCAGCATTAGAAACAGAGGCTTAGGAACCTGGCTCAATGGTGCATGCCTGTAATCCCAGTGACTCAGGAGACTGAAGCAGAAGGATCTCAGGTTCAAAGCCAGCCTTAGCAACTTAGTGAGGCTCTGTCTCAAAATCAAATTTAAAAAAAAAATAAAAAAGGACTGGGGATATGACTTAGTGGTTGTGTACCTCTGGATTCAATCCCTGATACCAA